TCTGTGGCCCTATTTATTCAAGGATAAACAGTAGTTTGCGTATCTGTAACTGTCATTCTTTGGGTGGTCATCTGTGACCAACAACAGGTTCCAAGCAGGTGCAAACCCATATGTGCGATGCACAGAGACCACAAAGAACTTTTATTTGTATTATGTGTCTTTATAAGCCAATATTGCTTTGGGTGTACTACCTTCTGGTGGGATAAATGTGAAGGATAAAGGGAAGCAGAAAGTACCATTTTAAGAGTAGAGGACACAGCTAACCATAGCTCAGGGAGGTTGTCAGGTCATGAGAGAAGCTTACCCCAGTGTAGTGCCCTCTAGACATTTTGGAGTTCAACAGGGTGTTGAAGGCTCTGTCACTTCAACTGCTGTAAAATGCTCTACAGGGCTGATTTTGACAACTTTGAAATCTTAAACTGATCTAAAATGCTGTTGCCAGACTATTGTCTGGGGCCAGTTACAAAGAGCCATTACAATTCCCTTGTTAACCTACTTTCACTGGCTACATATCTCTTACTGAGCACAGTTCAAAGTCTTATGCAATTAAATCGCAATTTGTAGGGTTTACTTAAATCAATTTGTTTTGGACTCATGGGAAACTGTGCTTTAACAAATTCCAGAACTATCAAATTGAGTTTCATGGGATGGGGTGGGGAGGGACAATAAGCATGCTTCTCATTTCTGGTTTGACAATTGCACCTCAACAGGTCAATCAGACCTGTCTCTGCTGTGAACTAGATATCACTTCAGTGAAGGGAAAGGAACCTCTTACTGAAACAACTGAAACAATGAATTCAGGCCCTACTGCTTTTACCTTCCTTTACTTATCATAGAAACATAGAAAACATAGCGAGTCAGAAGGGGCCTCCTGGGCCATCTAGTCTGACCTCCCACTCTGCTCATAACATGCCTACCAAGTGCAAAGAGAGGCAAGAGGGGATTAGGGTTCCCCCTAAATTGGCCAAGTGTATGGCATTTGAAATCAGGGTCTCATCTCACCACCACATGGTAGAGTTACCCTAGAAAAACAGGAAGATAACACATGTGATAACTCTGCTAGGCAGTCAAATGGCCATGCTAGCTGCTGCTGCTGCTGCTGTTCGAAGTTGTAACTCAACCTATCTGACATGTATCTAGTTAAAAATTCTGCTGTGAGGATTACTGGCTCTTTGGGATGCTTCCTTAGGTAGATAAATTCTAAACTGATATTGCCATTTAAGTTCCTGGGCCTATGAACAATTTTCCTTAAGCTGTTTTCAAAGAATGAGTCTGAAGGTAGATGGTGCTCAAAATGTACAAAGATTATCTTTAATTCTGAATACATCTTGCATTGTAAAGTTTATAGGACAATTTTATACCCGTCTGCTCCTAATCCCAGTGAATTCAACTGATTTTATTCCTAATTATGTGAGTACAGTATTGTATTTAATATAATATAACTCCTGTGTATACAAGTACTCCATATTTCCAAATCTATTTAAAATGTGTCAGTTTGTTCCACAACTATTTGCATATATTCAGTGATCTGCTATACTTCCTCTTTTTTGCTTAAATATTCAGCAGATTTAACTAAAGACATCTGCAATTCTTAAAATATGTCATGATGCAAAAAAGGTGGTATCAAGCCAGAGCAGTGGTATTATGTTAGGTTTTTGGATGCTTCTGGTATGTTATTGCACACCGTCGTAAACTTTCTTGAACAATGCAAATTAGCTTTTCAAAAGTAGATAGAAACTATCTACTAGGCTAACATTTGGATGCTTCTGTCAACTAAATGAATGTCCAAACGCAGTAACTTGTAATTTCCTCTGGTACATTTAAATGATGTGAATTTATCATACTGAACACCCAAAGGACATGTGTAAAAAAATAGCTGCTGCACAAAACTCTAGTTGACCATACAGAGACGAATAATTTTCAGCAAAAATAAATAAAAATAAAAAGATTGCTCATCCATTTGAATTCTCAACATTCTGAATGTGCATTCATACCTAAAGTCTGAAAGGGCTTTAAGGCAATAACAGCGTCTTGAACCGCACTCAGAAATAAACCATTTGCCAGTCAGTTAAACAGGTAAAATAATGGGGTCACATGATCCTAGCAATTGACTCTTGTCAGCAGCATGATGAACCTGCTAAGTTATAATCTGTGCTCAGACAACATGATAACCCACACTCAAGGGTTAATAATGGGTTGAGTGTGAGCTGTCATTGAACCATGGGTTGTTGTTGAACTAGGGGGTCATCATGTTGTTTGAAACCAGCTAACAAACCATGATGAACAACCCACAACTCACAAGTCAGCAACATACCATTAGTTCTCTTCATTGATTGTTCATCATTAACACAGACAATACAATAACCCTCATTTCTATTATAATTCACATTTCAATGGCAACCCACACTCTGTTGTATGAACCCAGTAACTGGCTCAGTTCACACAACACAATTAGCCACAGTGTTTTTTTTTTTTTTTTAACCATTGTTGATGTGTCTTGTTGCCTGAACCTGATTGTGGGCTTTAGAAACCATAGTAAAAAGTGATGGTTTGCCTATAACACCATGGTTTGTGTTCTCTGAACCCAGGATCATGATTTCCACAGTCATGGTAAGCAACTACCATAGAGTCCTCTGGAAAGAGTGGCAAATGCAGGAGACACTCCAGCCTCTTATGTGTGGAGTTATGAGGAAAAGGCAGGTGACACAGGCAGGGGGCAATGCACCTTGGGATTGAATTTCTGGTACAGTGGCTAATGGGATATAGGCCAACAGTGGGAAGACTGAGAAGGGAGGATGGAAGCCATGATAACACAGAAGCCATTTGATCATCATTTATAAAACATGGTAAACATCCAGGGTTTCTTGTTGTGTTATGCAAATGCAGTCACTACGAAGTGTAAGGACATGAAGATTGTCTAATCAAAATTTACTTAATGCATTTCTGACCACAGTCAGGTCTGACCATTTAGGAACAAGTGCAACTGGCACACTAGCCTAAGATGGCAATAGCACTCCCAGTTACAATCAGTATTTGAACCTAGCTCCAGGAATATCCACAAAATATAAATATGCTCTTTCAAAAACACTGTAATCTAATCTAAAACAGGCTGACATCCTACCCAGAACAGATTGATCTCCTAACCACTAACACCTTTGCCTTTTTCAGATTTAATTTCAGCTTGCACACCCTCAACCTGTCTATCACTGATTCCAGAAACCAATTCATATGCAGTTCTCAGCACATACCAGCCCTTATAAGAAATACCTGCATAAAATATTTGTGAGCTGTTTTCTCTGAAGGAGAGGGGTGATTTCTCCCCCTTCCCGAAATGATTTTTTCAGAAAGTGGCAACCATGTATGCTACACATATTTTCTGAAGAGTTCAGTGCAGAAAGAAAAAATCTTCTCTTCCACAAGTTCTCTACATATAGGAGAACAGGTCCCCATGAAGACCACAAAACAGCTTTTCTAAGTTGGCCAAATCAGTGCAAGGGTTAATATAGTGCACTACATTACTAGAGATACCAATAAGCAAGCAATTGTCTAAATGACTGGAGATTTGAGTCACCCATTATTTTTATCTTGAATCCTCAAGCAAAATGAAGAGATTGATTGATTGACCATAAGAACTTTATATGCGCTTGAAAGGGAATACCACATGCAAATTATTTCAACATAAAAACAAGGTTTGTTTAGTCACTTCCATTCACCAGAGAGCTATCAGGCAGCATGCACCAACACACTGTCATAATTACAACAATTTTAAAAATTCCTATGTTGTTATGATATAGGACCTGGGCCCATAAGTTCCTATGAAAGTGACGGAAACCTACATAACTATTCGACATTTAGCTGTTTGTCAAGAGATGTTTACTGCTTCCAAGATTATGGAAGGGCAGTTCACATGACCAACTGAGGTAGCAGTTAAAGTAATTAATATTAGGTGAAGAGCTTGCTTCTACCACCTGACTTGATGAGAAAAAGATATTCACCAATATATTTTATTACCTAAAAAGATAGGCATATATTCCTGATGATTAGACAATTATATGGAAAGGCATAAACATTTTTTAAAATGAAAATGCTTCCTTAGATTAAGCTAACAACATTTATAGGATGGGTGGGGTTGAATCCAGTATGCCATTCTCTTTACAAAATGACTACTTTTGGATCAAGTAGAGAGCTCCACTAAAAGGGAATGGATTTTGGAGTGATTTCCTCTTTCCCCTACACATCCTCTCCACAATTTGCTTCAGAGTTTGGGGGACCCATGATAACCACATGGAAACTGGTACAGTCAGAAAGTGGAGGAACTGGCAAAGGCCAACCTCCTTTTTCTATTTGCAAAGCCCTCCACTTGATAAAATACCTATCAATGAATGTGAAGACTCCTTCTGTTAATGGAAGGAAACCATTAAATACAACTTACAGCAATCTGACAGAGAATTTGTCAAATGTATTAATCTTATAGAAAGATAATTCAAACATTGCTTAGTAAAAGTCTGGCAATGAACTCTGATGTCACGTTTTTTCTCAAGACAGAAAAGGCACAACAAATGTCTATCTTTTGGTATAACTTCGCTACCACAACAGACTCATTTACAAAAGGGGGTTGTAGGACTCTGTTTTCTTTTTCTAGGGTTGCCTTCCTATGATCTTTGAAATTGCCTTACTGCTTCAGGGCATAAACAGCATGAAAGAAAAATGAATTTTCTCAGCAATTTTCTCACTAGTCACTAATGAAAAGAGAAGTTCCTAATGAATCGACCACAATAGAAGGACAGATCATATAAGTCAAAAGAGAACTGAGGGAATAGGTGAGAGGGAAACTACTAGGGATATGTACACTGGAACAATGGGAGAACATTGCTGTTAAAGAATTCTCAGCTACAGAGGTTTCCTGAACAAGGCTCTATGCAGGTACAGACCCCTTCTGTGTGATCCACACAGATCATGGAGAAGAATGAAAGGAAATAAATGCACTAATAACAGCTTACCTTTTCTGTTGATATGAACTGAGGCTAATGGTTGTCTCAGTCTGAAAAGAGAAGAGTCAGTAACAAAAAGTGTTCTTAAACAGTCACTGATACATGATCAGAATACCCAGAAGCCAGAAATAAAGTATACATATCTCAAGTGTCACCCCATAAGTTCTAGTCAAAAAATCTTACAACATATACTCTTTCACAGCTTAGCTATGCTAGTTCAGATCACACACCTATGTATCTTAACTCAAAGAAAGTACTACTTAGCTTAATGGATTTCCTCAAGAGTGCCTAAGACTGTGGGCTCAATTAAACATTACAAGCAGTTATTAAATATAATAGAAACTAAAAAAAAATCCATATTCTAAAGAAGAGCCACTACTGGGTATTTCAAACCTAGCACTGGAGACTGTGAGTTTTTGTCATAACCAAGTAAAAATTGCAGGGAATCAATTGATTATTTAAAGCTAACTGAAGTCAGCACAACTATGGGATATGATTCTGAAAGGTTCAGATAGAAAATGAGCCCCACAAATGGTCACATAACATATCAGCCCTTGGGATGCTTTCACTGGATGGCCAGTTTCTATTTAGAAGGCCATGAAAAATAGCTGGTGTATAAGCTGGATAAAAGGTATGTTACAATATTAAGTCATCAGTGAATGAGTGCCAGAATTTCATTTTTGTTAAGTTTTGTAGAAACAGGCCCTATTAGCCAATTAAAGTCTTCCTTGCTGTTTATGAAGATGAGAACATTATATCTATGCCTTGAACTTGTTCCTTGGTATCAGAACATTATAAGTGAACCTAGTTACAAAGCATATGCTTAAATAAACATATGCAAGATTAATCCTATTTGCATGCTTCCATCAAATAACTAACTAAATTTTTAAACCAAAATGAATCAAGACAATAACAAAGTAATCTAAATAATCAGAATAACTGAAATATTACATATTTGCCAGAGGCAAATGCAATAATGACTGTTGCTAAATTTCTGCGCTATCCTAAAGTAATGATATGCAAATACCATTCGAAAAGAGCCTTGCTACTCAGCTATTTAGTGCTTTCTTGGCCTAAACTAGCACCTCAGATTGAGCATGGAAAGTGATGCAATCTGAAGCTAGCTTAAATAATAATTTTTCAAATAAGGATTCTTTCATCTCCCTATAGCACAAATGATCAAGCTGTTAAAAGAGGTACAGTTGTGCCAAAGTTAAGCGCTTAACTCTAAATCAATGAGATTTAAGTACTTAGCTTTGGTTTGTTTGTCCCCTTAAACAACAGGATTTGTACTATTGAACTGGAAGCTTTTCTGCTAGAACATGCATTGCTGCTGTGCTATAACAGTTGAAACACGAGGACAAGAAAAAAATAATTTGGTGCCCAGATATCATTATAAGGAAATTAAAGGAAGTCTTAAAGGTAGTATATATGCCCTTTCTAAGAAAATGACCCATTACAGTAACTAAACTTAGTATGAATCAATCAAACTTAGAATGAATCAAAATAATTTCACAGTACGCAAATTAACCCTGTTTTTCTGAATTAAATGAGAAACACAGCATCACACTGGGTTTCAATAGATCATGCAATAACAATTCAAGTGCTTTTTTTTCAAAATCATTCAGCACATGTAAAAAACAATTAGAAACCTAGAAATGTTTAGCTACACAGATTGTTAGCTTAGAAAAAAGGCACAAATGAAGATTCTAGAGGAGGTGTTTAAGATTATGCACAGTGTAAAAAAAGTAGAGAGAGAAGTGGACATTCATGAAAGAGGAGGAAATCAATAGCTACTACCCTTTCTGGTTATGTACTACCTCCACTGTCACAGGTGGCATCACTGCATTCACCAGATGCTGAGGAGCCTGAACAGTTACAACTGTTGCATCCATCTTGCTTGAGGGAACCTGTGGGCAGCTTGTTTGCCACCCTGTGAATGGAGTGGTCAACTGGATGGACCATTGGTCTGATACAGCATGGCTTTCCTTATGTTGTTAACAAATGCTCTGTGGCAAAATACTTTGTATGTTTAATTATCTTGAGCACTGGACAAAAAACATATTCAGAGATACCAACACACATCAAAAGCAAGATTCTGAAGAGATGCAAAAATTATGGCAGAGCAGAACTGTAACATTTCAGGTACCCACCTGCAGCAAGTACCTTGCCACTTTTGTGAAGATAGTTCACTATTACTTCAAGCCCAGATATATACTAAGCCCCATGTTTGAAGATCTAATATAAAATGCTCAAATTATACCATGCTAACAACTGTAGACAGATTGTCATAAAAATGACAAATGCTGACACGCATGTCTAAACTGAAATTGTAAGTTGAACTCAGACCAGACAGGCTGCTTGCCCATAACTGTAGTTTTTGAGTGGTAATCTATGTTTTACATCTAGGGGGTTTGCACCTGCACGAAGCCTCATTAGGAATATACTAGAGCAGGATGAGCACAGGTCTAAATGCTTTAGACATCAACTCCCAGAAGGATGAACTATATCTAGTCTGAAAAGCAACTTCTTCTAAAACAGTAGTTGGAGGACTCAATCCTAATTTCCCACCTTAGAAGTGCTTTCCTACCCGAATTCTACCTTTGCAGAGGTGCATGTCCAGTGAACTAGCATAGAAGACTGGCACTTAACCAATATTTGCCCTTGCAACATGTGTACTTCAATTTTTCACTTTCATTTACCATAGTTTTTCTGAATATTAACGCCATAATCTCTATCTATTCCTGTACAGTCAAAAACAAACATGAACTCTTCAGTAACTATCATCCTTTGTCTCTAGAAAAAGGGGTATCTGTGACAGTCTTTCCCAATGTGTGTTTACTAAGTAGTAATTTACTCTGTTCAGCTATCTTATTTCAGAGCAAATATGCATGGAACTGTAACTTTAGTTTTCAAGAAAATTATCTTGGTTGTTCAGTGTTCCACATGCACAGAGAGAAAAATTTGATTCCCTATGCATACAGAATTCTGCAGTACTAAAAGCATGAGAGCTGTGACAGATTCTGAATGTGTAAACACTCTGTTTACAGTTGCAAACTGTATCAAAATATTAAAGAAATATGAATTTTAATGGAAAAATTGATTTCAACTCAAAAATTAAAGGTGTTTTTTTCTTTAGCAATTGAAATATTTAAGTTACCTTAGCTTAAATCAATGTGATTGATTCAATCAGTTTATCCAGAAATCCTTTTGCAAAGCAGGTCTAGCCTAATCATTTGAAATGCCACTTTGGCATTCAAAGCAGAGACTTGCTGGGATATCAAAGTAATACAGACAAACTAACAAGGCATTGGAGCTTGTAAAGAATTACATGGAAAGGATGAGACAGTCAAACCAGAGGTTTAGGTCTGATTTCTTTATTAATTCAGTGATAAAATACTGCAGAGTAAAGCAGGCTATTTAAAGGAATATGACTACACATGTAGGCAATACAGGGCAGTATCTACTAAATGAAAAGCACTGGAGAGCCAGTGTGGTATAGTGGTTAAAAGCACAAGACTGGGACTCAGGTTATCTGGATTCTACTCCCCACTCAGCCACAGAGCAAACTGGGTGACTTTGGGCCAGCCACAAACTCTCAGCCTATTGTACCTCACAGGGTTGTTGATGTGGGGATAAGACTGAAAGCAGGAGGGGGAGAATGATGTAAGCTGCTCTGAGTTATTTGGGATATAAATTTAATAAATAAATATTTACCTGTAATAAGCCTCCTTCATCAAAACGCAGAACTTCTATTATGCTATCTGACTGGATGAAAGCTGTAAAAATGCAAATTCAGAGTATTAGTCAAATCCATTTGTGTAATCCATCATTTAGGAATTATGATACTTTCATCTGGTTTCCACCTCACCCCTCATATTTTAGACATTTAAAATGGGAAAACATAGATTTAAAAAACTTGTCAAGCACATAAAAGATTCCACTGGGTCACACATACAGTACATCTAATCCAACAAATTCAATTGCTCCCAGCAAATCTATTAATATTGCATGAACAAGATCTACTAACAGGTTTTTCCACTATCAGCTATTTGGACATCACAGTAAATCACTGTGTATTATTACCTGCCCAATCATAAAGGAAAGGCACCTGGATAATTGTGTCAGGTCCCTGAATGATCACAGAGGTCTTTAAAGTCCTCTGCAAAGTGGGCTGGCTTAACCTGAAAAGATGACCAATTTGGTCCTAGGTGTGCCACAGCAGGGATGTTGTTCCAAAGATGGGGGGCCACCACTGAAAAGGCCCTCCCCCTAGTTGCCACCCTCTGGGCCTCTGAAGGAGTTGGCACCTGGAAGAAGACCCCAGAGGCTGAGCATAGTGTCCAGATAGGTCAGGTTTGGGAGAGATGCTCTGACATATATTGAGATCCCAAGCCATGCAGTGCTTTATAAGTTAAGACCAGCACCTTGCACTGGGACCAGAAACATACAGGGCAACCGATGCAGGTGAGCCAGAACTGGTTACTCTTCTATGTTCAGACTTCCAGGCCTCAGTTATTAATCTGGCTGCTGCATTCTGGACTAGCTGCAACTTCTGAACTATCTTCAAGGGTATCCCCATGTAGAGTGAGTTGCTGTAATCTAATTTAGAGATTACCAGAGCATAAATTACTGAAGCCAGACTATTCCTGTCCAGGTAGGGGCACAGCTGGGCCACCAGTCAAAGCTGGTAGAAAGCACGCTGAACCACCTGAGCCTCAAGTGGATCAAGACAGTGTTATGGGAGTGATTCTTACACTTAACACATTTCTACTCTGTCATCTTTTCCTCTGGTACAGCTGCAAGGAGTTTGTTATCTTTCATTTCCAGTTTTGATTAAGCAGAACTCATCACTTTATTTGAACCTGACAAACTGCAGCTAATCTTAGCCATAGCTTGTCTGAAGCAAGTCAACTTAAGACCATATGTTATGAAGATAATATTAACATTTCTATACTGCCCATCTGTGCACTTAATAAGTACAATATAAAACATAATATTTAAAACAAGGGAGGGAAATGATGATGCCCTTGGTAGCATGCTGGAACAATTCTGTACTGCACTTAAAGTCACTCAGATCTGTTGCAAATTGGACAGCGCAATTAATGCAGTACCATTAGTGGAGCTGCCTAAAACACTAGCTAGTCTAGTTTTATTGGCTGAATGTCAAGTTGTCAAGGCTCAAAGATGCAGACAAGGTGCTTGGTCAAGTCTGGTCAACCACTGTGTGCTTCATGTCCTTCATGTTTTATTACATCTATTATTATTACATCTGATAAAGAGAATCTTGCTGGGACCAGGAGGTTGTAAATTTCCCTTTAAGTGAGGGTAGTGCTACCTTCCTTACAGGAGCATTTATTTAGGTGACTCTAAAAAAAGGCTAATTTGGCTCTAATTTGGCCTATAGATGTTAACATCTATAGGCCAATAGCTTATATCTCATTTCTGGACAATATGTTTGACTGGGAAGTTGCTGATCAACTCCAGACAATGTTGAATGAAACTGATTATCTAGATCCATTCAACAGGGAAGCAGGCCTGGATATGGAACAGAAATTATCTTAGTTATCTGTGAAATCACCTTTGCTGAGAGAGGCATGGACAGTGGGGTGGCACTATTGAAGCCATCTTTCAGTTGCTTTTGATTGTGGTAACCTGCTGGATAGGTTGTCTGGGTTGGAAGCTGGAGGCAATGTGCTGCAGTAGTTTTGATCCTACTTAGATAGCCAATTATTGGGGATTATTGCTCTGTGCCTTGGCTGCTATGCTTTGGGGTTCTAAAGAACTATATCCTATTTCCCCGTGCTTTCCAGCATCTACATGAAACTGCTGAGGGAAGGCTAGTTAGAAGTGTAAACCAAGGTGTCATCAATTACACCCAGATCTCCCTTTCCATCAAATCTAGATGAGGTAGTGGCTGTTCTGAATCAGTGTCTGCATGTGGAAATAGAAAGGATGAAGGCCAATAAACTGAAAAGACAGAAGTGCTGTTAGTGTGTGATAAATTTCCCTAAATTCAACCTGTTCTGGAGGGGATTATATTCTTTCTAAAGGAGCAGGTTCATAATTTGGGCATGCTATTGGTCATCCACTGTCACTAGAGGCTCAAGTGGATTTGAGGGCAAGGGTCACTTTTATCAGCTTGGGTTGATATATCAAGTACCTCATTATCTGGACAAAGATAACTTCACCACAATTATCCATGCTCTCTGGCAATATCCTGCCTGAATTACAAGAATACATTATATGTGGATCTGCCTTTAAATATGGTCCAGAAACTTCAGATCCAAGTCAGCAAGACTGTTAATGGTGACTGGCCAATGGGATCGTATTATGGCAGTATTCTTTCATCTGTACTTTGTACGAAGTGTGATATGCAGTGTATCTTGTCTGCATCAAGAAAACTTAGCTGTTTTCTCACTGGAAAGAATCACTGAAAGGATCATACTACTTAAGCAGCACAGTTTAACAGAAAGTTATCCAACCCGCTTAAATAGTAAAATTAGAGAAAAGTTAATTCATTTTAAACTGTAGGTAAATTGTCAAAAAAAAATTTGTGCTTTCACCCATAAATGTATCAGAGTTGTATAAGACTTATCAGACAAATGGCATCAGAGACTCCTGGCTTCCTAAAGTCTTAGATTTGGTAACCACGGAAGGCTATGCATATTAATATGTAGCGTCATTATTATTGACGCTACTCATCATTATTATAGGTATGTATGTTTGTATGCATTGTTATATTGTTTAGTGCACAACAAAATAGCACTAAAATATAGTATTGTATGGAAAAATCTACTAACACAAAATGTGATGAGATAGAGTGGGAGACTGAGGACTTGGGAGATACAGTTTCTATTCCCCACTTGGCCATGAAGTTCACTGGATAACTTTGCACCAGTCATTCCTTCTCAGCCTAACCTAGCTCAAAGTATTATTGTGAGGATAAAAGAGCTATGTAAGTTGCTTTGAGTTCCTTACAAGAGGAAAAAAGGGTGGGATATAAATGCAATGCAATAATGATTAAAACTGTTAGTAAAAATTCATAGTTTAAGTAGGGTCTGAGCTCAAAAGTGGATTTGTAAGGTATTTTTTACAAGTGTAGAAGGTTTAAGGGAAAGTCAGCCAATAGTTTTCTTTCTTCTTTTTTAATGCTAGGGCAACTCAGATTGCCCTAGCATTAAAAGATTAATACCTTCATGAAGCAACAAGGCCAATTTTTGCATATCCGTTGCAGAGTTCACCAAAAAGTTCACCTAGAGTTCAACAAGTATTTTAAAAATGGTGAGTATTTAAGCAATGTGCTCATCAGGGAAACACTGCAAGGCATATGAGCTAGTAGGTGAGCCTTGCCTCTTCAGGATGTATTGGCATATGAGGTAATTGCATATACAGACCATAGCTGAGCCACAAGAACTCCTTGCCTAAATAGCTTGAGGAACACATTTGACTAAGGTATATACATTAAAATCAACATTGAATGCCAAGGGATAATACTGAGGAAATGTAGTGAACATCTCTGTTTATATAATAATCTCCAACAGTTTATTCCAAATTATCTAAGAATTATTTTTATTCAGTTTCAGATAACTTGTCCCCTGCCCCAACTCATGACCGTTGTCAGACCCTGAATAAACATTAAGACTCAGGATTTAGGTCTGATGGGGGTGGGGTTAAGCTGCAGAATGAATGCAGGTTACTCCAAACTCCCACATGATCTCTCACATATGGTTTATTTGCTGAGCAGGAGAAAGGTATCTAGCACTGTGGGATGCCACAGGAAAAGGGAATTGATTACACTCATAACCCATTGCAAAGAATTAGCAGAACACCTGTAAAATATCCAGCAGATGCCATGATCCTACTTAGATCCACTATACCAAAGGTAGCATGTGTTACAGGTATACAGCTACTGCTCTTAAAAGCAAGACAAAGACCAACTAAGCTCACACAAAATCAATACTTAAAGGAGCTGCTAGACTAGTAGGATGCATGCAAACACAGAGACTTACATACATATGAATAAATAGATTCAGACAGTAAATTGTCCAGGGAGGTTCCAGTCAGGAGCTAGGTCCCTCCCCTTCTCTCTTTCAAACAATTGATAGCTCTTTGGCAAAAGCTCTTTATTTCCTATGTATATCCACCAAGCTATAGCCAACAAAGAGTCTCTGAGCATGCACAGAGTGGTTCATTGAACCCAAACTAGAAACTATTCTTGAGAACCCTCCTTTTGAGTAACTCTGGATGCCCCCCCTCTGGGAGTGCCCCTGTGCGGATAGAGAATTTGAGTACAGCTAGGAGACTCACCTATTTGGCTAGCCTTTCTCTCCTGATGCCAAGTCATTCTTAACCCCAATTGGACCTGGTTCCTCTGCCATGTCCTCTCCTGGCACTTCCAGACCCCTGCTGGTTCTCACAGCCTTCCTGAACACTTGGGGACACCAGCCTTGAGATAAGCTCTCCCTCCTCCTCCATCTCTATGATTGCAGAGATCCCTCTGCAGGCTTCACTGCCCTCACCTGAAGAATCTGTGTCACCCTGTCCTGAAATGTCCACCAAGAACAATTGCCTCTTTCATTCCCAATACAGCCATAGATTTGCTCACATGTCCATCTCAACTATAAATATTTTTAACAAAGCCAAGAGCAAAGTATAGTATGTATACATTTCGTAGGAGGCTAGCTACATACCATGCACTAAGCCATTAATATAGTTCAAAGTCATTTCTTGGAGATACCCCTCCTTAGGTAAGAGCTGTGGGGCCCCATAAGCCTGC